CTAAATTAATCTGTTCATAATTAAGTTTTCTTTCTACCTCTGTTGTCTGAGTTATTGGAGCTAATGCATTTAGGTGTTCTATGTATCCATTTTGCCAATATTTCGGCAAAGAAAGTATCAACGTCTTCTTCGTAAAATTCAAACCATATTCTACAAGTTTTTATGTTTGAAAAGCTATTTTTTTTTTCCTTTGTATTTTCAGGTACTACAGCGAGAAGCAAGATTAGGTTGACCCTGATTCATGATTCTGGAAAGCTGTTTTTACACCAACCGTTGGCTGAAAAATCGTGCTGTTAGCCAGCAAAGGTCCCGACATATTTGACGGCTTATGACAACTTGGCTTTTTATGACCATGGTCTGATAATATATTGTGTCATATTATTTGCATAATATGGTGACTTGAAGCTTTTCTTGATTGTCTGAAAACTTGTCTGTAATCTTCTTTGGTAAAGATTTTTTTTTTTTTTGGAACTCTTCATCTTCCCCCAGGAGAGCAAAGACTTGAAAATTGAAATATGCTTTCTGAGAAAGTCAATCTTGACATTTTTGAAACAACAGCAATTCATCAAAGACTCATCAATTCACTTGACAGCAATTCATCACAAAGAGACTCATCAATTCATCTTACAGCAGTTAAAACAACTTGAGGGAAGAAAATATGTAACTAAGCGGCTCGAAAATCATCAAGTAGAGAAATTTACATCTTAGGTGATGGGCCAAACAAAAGATTCCAGCATTCAAGTCGATAGGACCACCTTCACTCAATAGCCAATGTCCCAACAGTCAAAGTCGAACCTTTTGTTGCAATTTGAATCAATCCGAACAAGTTTCCAATCCATACATCATCTCAGCAAACAAAAATATGACTCAGGCTCGCATACTATTATCTTCCTTGTGAAGCCACAAGGGACTTCAAGGAATTATAGTAGTTTTTCAATATTTTTAAGAATACCAAGCATCTCTAGAAATCAATATACTAAATCTGTATACATGGGTTATTTATAAGACACTGCTTGAACTAAAAATAGGAAGGGCCATAACATATTGCAACAAGATCCACACAACAGCCATGCACAGAAACAAATACATGAATGTGTCAAGATATATATGCAGCTTAAAATCCATAAAAAGATGAACAGATGCAATTTCCCTGCAATTCTCTGTAAGTCTTAACCCTTACAGAATCTCTAATTTTTTTCACATTTTCTTGCTGGCAACAGAACTTACAAGCTTTAGTAGCTGTAAAAAGACAAGCTAACTGAGCTTTGCCCTAAACATAGTACAGATAAGTGTAAAGAAAAATGAACACTGAGACAATTTTCCCTGACATCCATAATATGAAGACTGCCATATACTGAATACAATAACACCACAAAACTAAATCAAACTTCACCATGCAGCTTTTGGCACTTTCATTGACAATTAATGTTAAAAATGATGGCCACCAATAACCCCAACAAGTTAACTAAACCTCTAAATGATTGAACATATCATAGCACAAAGCACGGCAGAAAGATTTCTATAGTATAAAGAAAGCTGCACAATTAAGTGAATAAAGAACCAGTATTTCAAGAGCACTTCCAGTAGATCACATGAAAAACAGGGCACACATTCATCAGGAAACAAACATAACGATCCTGGATAAAAAGACAAACTTGAAAGCAAACAATACAAGCTCAGTAAAAGGAACAATGCAGGCTACCTTTCAAACAACTAGTTTAATCTTTCCCATTCCCATATTTCCTTCATCAATATACCATACAACACATCAGAATACCTCTATGCTGACCAACTAGTAAGATTCTTTTTGGATACAGCTATGTTTTTCAAACTATTACTACGCATTCATCACGAAACAAACCTGAAAGAAAACAATACAATATGCGTAAAAGGAACAAAGCAGGTACCTTTCAAACTACTAGTTTAATCTTTCCATTCCCACATTTCCTTCATCAATATACCATACAACACATCAGAAATTCAGAATACCTCTATGCTGACCAACTAATGGGATTCTCTTTCGATACAGCTATGTTTTTCAAACTATTACTCTAAGAGTTCACTGTTCTCATATTTCCTTCAGTAAGTAGCAAGTGCAGATTCAGTACCAAGATCATACAACTCACCAGCAGCATACTTCTCCATTGATCCACCAAAGTGAGTCTTTGTCAGCTTGAAGAAAACAAAACACGTAACCAGGCTATCAGAGCCCGCCTGATGGGAGCTGCCCACACGCTCCACTTCCAGTTTCTTAGCAAGTTTACTCAGCCCACCATGAAGTTCTCCAATGTCCTTCACCAGGTGCTTGATGTCATAAACGACCGGAAAGTACAACCCGAGCATATCAAAGAACCCTTCAAGGGTATCCGGAAGTTTCTTGCAAGTCAACAGCTTCAAAAGGTACCCAAAATCATATCCACCGTGAAAAGTTAGCCACCGAATGTTATCGTTCATCACGATTCCGGACGACATAAGAAGCTCGCTGAATCTATCGATATCAACACCCTTTTCGTTATTCTTCTCCAAGTCAATGCCACTGTTGATTAGGAGGTCAATCGAGTCAGAGAAATAGACATCTTCCTTACGGTTGAACTCACGGAAATTGAACTGCCAGAGGCAGTATTTTCCAGTCCCACAGGTGGGAAGGGTTCCATTCTTGTCTGAGAAAGTGAGCCCCAGCTGAATTAGCTTCAGAATTTCCACATTAGCTCTTACACTTTGATAGTTGGCCTCCGAATGGTTCTTGGATTGGCCCAGGGGTTTAATGACGACGCCCGGGAACTCAGTGTCCATAGCAATGTACGGATACTTGTCCACGATTTCACGAATCAAACCAAACTCGCGGTCAAGATTGTCACTCCACACCTCCCTGATGTGGATTTCATCTTTCTTGGGTACGATATTCATACTGGCATCGATTTCCCACAACACACAACTACACAAGTGAAAGAAAAGGGCCAAGAAAAACTATAACAAGAACAGATACCCAAAATCTCAGAGAAAGAAAACTACGGCAGAAAAACTAGAAGAAACCCAGAAAAAATTTCAGAAGAACGAAAGAAGCAGGAGACAAATAAAATGGAAAAATTATGGCCCAAGATGAGAAGAGGCATGAAAAGTCTTACCTTCGAGACGTCAGCTTTTGGAGATGATCTAAGACCAGAACTCTTGCGCTTTTGTTCACGGGTGAAACGAAAAGTTAAGCTTTAGACGAATGGGGACTAGGGTTTTGCGGGCGCAACACTATGGAGCGAGTGAAAATGATTTTTTAGAAGGTCCCATTGCAAAAGATGGCAGAGAAAGGTCCCGATAAATGGAAAGAACACTGTGTGATGGCTAAAGCGTATTTAAAGTGACAAAATTGGGAGTCCTAGTATTTGCATCCAAGTCCCCAACTTTATACTTATTATCGCATGTACCCAATTACCCATTGGAGAATGTTTCGAGATTTCCGCTATATAAAAGGTAAAAACCTTTTGAACCAACCTTTTTTATTTTGGTCACATCACACAGGTGTCAAAACCCTCTATACATGGAAAATATCTTTAGATTTTTTTTAAAAAAAATATTATTGTGCTATATTGAATGCGAACAAAATACTTTTGATTGTTAATGCTGTTAAATTAAACTGTTAATGCTGTTAAATTAAACGAGCCTGGCTCGGCTCGACTCAAGTTCAGCTCGCGTTCGTGGCCTTAACGAGTCGAGGTTGAGCTTATTTATAGCTCGTTTAGCTAACGAGGCGAACTCGACTCGGCTTGATAAGGTTCGTTAAGGCTCAAAAATTGATTTTTTATATAAATTTTTATAGTTCGCCTCGTTAACGCTCGAGCTCAGCTCGTTAAGGCTCGAGTTCGAGGCCTTAACGAGCCGAACTCGAGCTCGATAGCTCAGCTCATTAGAGGCTTGAGCACCCTAAGCTCGAGCTCGGCTCAGCTCATTTACAACCCTAATTGTGTGTTGCTTGATTTGATCTTGTAATAATATCAAAATTAGGATTTATATTTTGAGTCTACATGATATGATCAGTATTTAGTATTAGTGTTTGGTTATTGTGTATGTTTGTGTATTTACTGCATGAGTCTTAGATTATATTCGTGGTATCTGTAACCCTAACTTTGTGTATATATTATTTGTTAATTAAAAGTTGTATCATTCGATTGAGATGATTTTTACCATAGTTTTCATCTCATCTCTCTCTATCATGATTTTCCTTATCAAATCTGATCTCTAATAACACTGTTCGGCCCAGTCCTGTCTGGATAAGGATTTTCCATTAAATTAAGAACCCATTTCCAGTGATCAAACTTTCAAACACCTTAGACAAGCTGGAACTAGTCTCATGTGAGCCTCCAAGTGTGGGAAGAAGGCAAAGGAACACCCTACGTTTAAGCTGTAAAAGTAGAGCCTCCACAGACACACGGCAGGCTCTAAAAAAAGTGAGGATAAAAAGAAGACAACATAACTTGAATTTACAGCTGGTAGAGCTATTTCATAACAGAGATGTATGGGTTGGTGTTTTAAATTCTGATCTTCTTAACATGATATTGAAGAAGTATCAAGGAGTGTCCCTTTGAGGATTGGTGTAAACTTGATGGGACTCACTTGAATGCCTTGAAATCACCATTGGTGTGTAAATTCGTAAATGGAACCATGGTACACCTATTTTTTCACCAATGTAAAATGATTCAAGACGAGCCCTATTTTGTGGAACATCCCCGAGAAATCACAGTGTAGTTGAATAATCAAACAGAGCTCAATAATCAACAATCAAACACCTACACAATTCCACATAAACACCAGATCATTAGTTTCGACCAAGAGGCAAAGACCTACACATAAACGTCTCCTTAAAGTCCGACTTTTTCGAAGAAGTAAATATGGAAGCATACACGGATTTAGTCGCGTTAGCTGGAGCTACATCTGCCGCCTTAAACTTCTTTCCAGACCCTTTCACATCACCAGTCATCCCATTCCCTTCGACACCGTGTTTAAACCCAGTCAACCGCCCGGCCCTATCTCCATTAACATCCCCATTCTTGATCTTCTTCACCTTTTTCTCATTAACTCCCGCTTTTTCCTCTTTCAGCTCTTCCCACAGCTCATTGACCTCCTCCTCAGTCCCATTAATGACAATCTTATCGCTCTCCGAAAATTCCTTGTGACAAATCAAGCAAGAAGAGGACTTTACCTCCTTGAAACCCTTTTCACTCAGGACATGCCCGCAGCTTCTGATCGCGCAGAATCTATACTTCCCGTTGAATTCAAGATAGGGCACTGGAATTTGACGGCCCCGATTCCCTCAGCTCCCGAGATCTCAGCCAGCTCAATATTGATCATATCCTTCAGACCTTTGATGTACCCAAACTCCTTAGGTAAAGTCTTCTTCAGCAGGGCCTCGACAAGAGCCTCCTTGTTGAAGAGATTCCCGAGCTTATCCAGGACTATCGGGTGCCTCAGGGGCTCGTTGGCCAAGCTACAGTTGAGCCACTTAGAGAGACGCATCTCGTTCGGGTCGACCTTGTCCGGCTTCTTCACGGCGTACATGTTCAGGTAACAGTCCCGGGATTCCGCACCCGTGGTGCCGCCATCTCCTCCTCCGGCGCGGAGGCGCAGGTGGAGGGTGAGCGTGGAGAGGGGGGCGATTGGTGAATTCTGCAGCAGGGGAGTGGCGTCGGAGAGCGGTTTTCCATTGAGAGTGAAGAAAAGAGAACCGTGAGGGATCGAACTTGAAGGGAGGATGGACGATTTGAGGTGGTGGAGAGTGAGATTAGGGTTTGGATATTGAAAAACTAGGGCTCGAGTGGGCATTTGGAAATCTGGGGATTGCACGAAAATCTGGAAATTGCGAGATGATGGGTTCATAGTTGTTGAACTGGAAGTTGAATCGAGCCTTTTGTCTTTCATGGATTGGAGGGAGAAGAAAGCACAGAGCGAGGGGAGGAAGACGATGCAGGGTAGCACAGAGAGTTTGGTGCACCGGCGTGTGAAGAGGTGGTGACGTCGTATGAAATTTTGATAAATTAGTATTGACCTGTGCATTTGCACATATATAAATAAATTATTGTGAGTCTGTACATATAATGATTAATTATTTTTCTTTCAATTTTTTGCAGACCAAATTTACAATTAAAAGAGTTGAAATATTTTTTTTTAAATTGTATTTATCTGATTGGATGTAATGTATATTTTGGTACGTCTTTTATTTGTGAATTATTTATTATTTATTTAGGAATTTCAAATATATTTTTTATTTAAAAAAAAAAATAAATGTGACAACAATAATAACATCTAATCACATTATACGGTCAACACATTATATGGTCAACTGTCATTAATCAAAAGTTTAAAATGATTTTTGTAATTTTGAAGTGATGAGTATTAATTACTTAATGATTAAATGAAAGATTAAATACATCAAAATGTAACGGTTTTTGGAGGGAAAATTATTAAATTGCCACATAGATAAAATTAAATAGGTTTTATTAAATTCTATTAGCTAGTAATTATATATATATAGATTAATATTAATAAAAATATTTATTTTATTTATTTATGATTTTCAAACCATTAATTTGAAAAAAAAATATAAATATTCAATCTATATATATATATATAAAAAGGAACAACAAAACATTAAATTATATTATCATGCATTAAATTTTATTCTTCTTCCAAAATTTTCAACATTCAATTTCATTTTTAAGTTACAAAATAACTTACTTGAATGTCATAAATTATGAGCATAAACCAATCAAGGAAGTTACAAAATTATACTCAAATTTAAATCACAGTCACTCATGAAAATGACTGGGTATATTAGCATAAAGAAAATGATTGTAACGGCTCTTACATAGCAATTACTTGATCAAAATTAATTTTTAGAATTATTTTCTTAGTTCGTATATTTTTTCATGAATTAAATTATAATTTTCTTTTTGTTTTATTTATATTGTTATTTTTTTTAAATATTTTTATTTGTGCAAATGCACGTGTTGATTACTAGTTTAATATATAAGAAAAGTATGAAAAATTATGTAATATTTAATACATGCCAAAAATCTAATAAAATATCAATAAACCAAGTAAAATTCTGCCAAAGGAGACAGATCCCCTGCGCAATCTAACATTCCAGGCCCCTTTTGGCTTACGTCATTCATAACCATATTATTGACCAATCAAAGCTTCAGGAGCAACCAGGTGCACGAAAAACCAAAAGCACCGGATTATTTCCACCTCGTGTTCGGCAGACACGTCGTCGTTTTCCATCGGTGACGTGGCGCCTTCGTGGAGTCCGTAGATGATCGATTTGATACAATTAAAAAACGATAAGCTCTGAAAGTGATGGACTCGTGTCTGACCCTTTTCGTAAGGTAGTTTCTGGATGATATTGTGTTTACTCTTATTCATTTTTTCGTAAGGTAGTTTCTGGAGTGGTACATATCATTATCATATCAGTTACTTTCTTTAGGATCAATTTTGTTTAGAGGATTATCTTACAATACTTATTTATGCAGGGACGAAACGTCGACTCATTGATCCTTTATTTTGGCGAGGATCCAGCTCGCTGCCCATTTGAGCAAGGTAGTTTTTAACTTCTTTCGCTTGTTTAAAACTAAAATGAAATGTGAGGATGATTTCTGTTTTTTCCTCCTAATTGGGAAGGGGTTTTATAAATATTTTTACATATACAAAATGTTTGCAGTCGTGTCGACCTTGTGAGAATGTTTAAGAAAGCCCATGATGAAAACTGCAAACAGCTGGAGTTTGAGAAGAAGAAGGCGGAGAAGGAAGCTTCAGAAAAGATGAAGTTGAACTCTTCGGATACTGGACAATTGTTCCACGTCAGAAGTGTCAAATAATTTGTTGCCAAATTTCAACCTCAGAATTCACTTTGGATAATTACCGTTCATAGGCATTCGGAAATCAAAGGGACGGTTCTTTCCAAAACTAGTTTTCTTTTAGAAATTAGGGAATTTTGTTCTTGCAAGAAAAAGCTTGTCAACTGAGAGAAACTTTCGACTAATTCCTGTAATTTTTCATCTCAGTTTTCCCAGCAGCTGAGATCAGCAGAACCCAATTTTGCTCAGTGGTGGATTCTTGTATCGACTTCTCGTAAGGAAAATAAAGGTTTTGTTCTTGGCTCGTCTCTTCTGCTACATAACCTTGTGCAGTGTGGGTTTTGAGCTCTGAGTACGGCTGCTAATGAACGATTTGCCACGTTAAACAAGATCTCTGGTAAAAATCGTAAGAAATCTGCTCGCCACATGAAATATTGACCCCTCCATTTTTCCTAAAAAGAAAATTTTATTGATGCATGAGATCTTAGTTTAGTGAAAGAAATAGAGACCGGGTTTAACTTGTGAATAGCATGATTATATTTTTCGACTGTCAATAATTGAACCTTTTCAAAGCATTCAGTAAAGAATTATCCCAATTTTATTTCCTTAGTCGAACTTGCGTGATAAACCATCTGGCCAAGTTTTTACAACCCAAGAAATAATGAATGTGACTAGGAAAAGGCTAAAGGGAAATGGAAAGACAAAATGACATGATTGTTAAATCTTATACCCTATGCCCATTCATGTCTATTATCCGTACACAATGGAACAAACGGATGTAGGACTCTTTTTCTTTCCCTAAGTTCTCTATTTTATTTTTATTTCCCCTAAAAAATTCAAGGAATTTGTCCATAAACACTAATATAATTTGAATATTATAGTTCTTGTTGACTCTACTAAATGCTAATAGCTACCGACCCACCAACGTTTATTTTGTACGGTCTTCCATTTTATAAATCACTAAAATGCCTCCACAACAACCGTTGATAAAAGAAACAACGGGATTCCCTGGTTGTTAGCTCAAAGAAAGTATGAAGCGCACTTTTAATTAAGAAGCCAAATACGGCGCCGTGTCGTACAGTTTTGATATTATTTAAAACAAAAAAAAGAAAAAGAAAAAGGAAAAACACTTTAATCCTAATAAAAACTAATGAGGCCCTTATTATGGTAGACTGACAAGAGAAATGAGCTTTTAGGCAGCCATCCTTGCTTTCTTCCCTTTTCCTTTTTCTTCATTCATTTTCACTGAATTTACCATTTTGTCCCCATCACAAAACAAGTAGAGATAGGTTCCTCACGAGAGATGGCATTATTATTGTCTTGGAACATTGCGCGTGAAGAAGTTCAAGGCATGGAGACGGATGATGCATCTTTCACCGAAGTTTCTCGAGCGGCAGATTGGCCGGTCAATACCGAGATGTTAGGAGAAGTCGGGCTTCGGCTATGTGTGTTCATTGTGTTCATTAGGTTACTCATGATATTGTTGTTGCTAATAAGAGGGGGTTTTCTAGAGTTAGAGGTTGTGGCGGTGGAAATGGCGGTGGCAAGTGAAATCGGCATGAGGCAGAGACCCTTGCCTTGCAGATATTGCATGGCGGAGCCCATGTCTTCTTCCATTAGCTTCGCCACTTGTTGCTCTGTTATGGTCGTTCCATCATTCTTGTTGTTAGATGATGATGTCGTATGTGTCCCGCTGCCGCTCTTTCCCTAAAGCATGCTCGAAAACATTAGTGTAGCAATATATCATTTGGAACTAACTACAAATTTGGATAGGTATATATGTTCGAATATAAGAACATCTCCAATGCTTAAATGTTGTTGTGGTAAATTACATGCCATATCAACACATTTAGTAATATCCCAACTTTTCATCTTCCAATGTATAATGTAATCACAATTGTTGTGGTGATGTGGACATAATTAATGTCCACAAAGTAGAGAAGAATGTGGTTCATCCACATTCTCCTCCACACTCTAGCTAGCCAATAAAAAGAAGAGAGATGATTATTCTTACCATTTTCAAATTATTTAATTATTTAATTATTTTTTCTTACTTCTTATTAAAATTTTAATATTTGGTAAGTAGATAATATTGTAGATAGACTATATTGTGCATTGGAAATGATTTTTTAATTTTATAGTTGTAAACTTAACATTTTTCCTACATGGTTCATACTCTATTTAATTGATTGACATTTGTCATAATTTATTCAATAACAACATTATGTCATTAGAGATGCTCTAAATAATGTTACTTTACATGTCAAAAATAACTCCATGTTGTTAGACTAATCTCCAACTATATAAATAATTAAATGAAACGAAAATTACGTGAGAACGTGACATAAATTATTCAACCGATCGAGACTTAATACCCTTTGATTCTACCACATATAGTTCTGATTTTTAGACATGATTGGTAAATTTCTTAATGTTCATTTTTTTACCAGATTAATTACTATTCACCTCGGAACGCACCCCAATTTGAACAAGTTACAAAGGAGAAATTGAGAAAAGAGTTTCACCTGAGGGTGATTTTCTAGGAGGTGGGCTTATGGAATCTGGGAAAAAAAGGAGGCACGCGTGGTACTTTTTGGTTTTGTTGTTTTGTGATGGATGGGGAATTTTGAGAGTGATAGGCAGCAAACGGTGGGGCTGCTAATGTTTTTGTGTTCGGTATTTCATATAGAATCTTTTGACATATATCAATCTTTTTTTTTTTTTTGGTCCAGACTCCAGAGGAGCTATATTATACATTTATACTACTTTCTCACTTTAGGGCGAGCAAGTTCGCTTGTGCTTTTGTTTTGGTCACAAAATTGTTGTCAAGAGCTTTTAGTTTTTCACCTGCCTAGCTAAAAGTGCCAAATTCAGACTAATTTTTACCAAGTGATATCCTACACCTGTTTTCCTAGAATATGCAATGATAGATTCGATTTGTGAGGTGATTGTTTATGAATTCAACTAGTTTTATTTGGTTTGCTTTGTAACTGTAGTTAATTGGGAAAAAAATGTAGTATGGTTAGTTGTTAGTAGATATATTAAAATAATATTTAAATAAAATAATAAAGTTGATTTGATGTAAAGTAGAAGAAAAATGATTGAAAGTGATGGTTAGTTAAAATTACGTGAGTGGATTAATAGTGAATTAAAGTTGATGTGATGTGTAAGAATAATTGGTTGATATTATTTAATTATATTGATAATATTAGAAATAGTTGAGTTGGTTTAAAGTTGAGTTAAATTTAAGTTTTGATTGGTTTTTTTATTATTGCAACTATATCCAATCGCCCCCTAATATACTTCCTATTATACTAATAAAATTACCCTTGTTAAGTAAATTCAAATCAAACGATCAAAGCAATAGAATTTATCACATGTAGAAATTCTAAGTATTTCATTGACATTAGTATATTTCATATCATATTCTACTATGAGTAACTAATAATGTCAATTTTTTTTTTTTTTAAATGGGAATACTTATTGTGCACATTTGATGAGTAGTGACAATTATATAACATTAGAAGATAAATATATCAATTACTTCTATTTACATTAATAAAAGTGAAGACATGCACATGTGCACCTACATTACCCACTAAAGTTGCAATGTGTAAACTATGTAAGAAATTAAGGCAGCTAATACTTGCCTCAGAGGACATATCACCAACCAAAGGGGCAACAGCTGCAGCACCTCCTAATCTGCTCATGCTCAAAACCTGGTCACAAGAACATAAAATAATCACAATTAATTAAACTATAATTTATTTATTTTTTAATCAATAACCTAACTCCACCAAGTAGTTTTAAAGTTTGACTTGGCCTGTACAAATTGTGATCAGATAAAAGAATCATTTTCAATACTTTATATGGATGCTCCAAAATTTATATATCATAAAACCCATAATAGAGAGAGAGTGGGAGGGTACTTTGACTTGGAGCTGGAGGAATTTAACGTAGTCGATGATCTCATCCAGCATTGAGGCTTTGTCAGTCTGTCAAATTTCAATAAAGAAATATTAATCACATATTTCCATAAGATTACTAGCTCTAACCTTTTTCAGTTCTATTCAATACTATTAAATCAAAATTACTTCCTATAAAACATGCTTATAAATTATAATATACATGGTGTTTGGTGCAACTAATTTTAACCCACTTCAAACTAAAGGCCAATGGATATATTGGACTTCATATTTTTTTGTTTCAAAATACTTTAAAAATGTTGTTCAAATTAAGTTGTTGAAAATAAATAAATAAAAAAAAAAAACGGTTTCTTGACTCCTGCATAATAAGAGGTTTGAAGGGGAGATTAGGTAAAAAATAAAATGAAATATAATAAAAAAGTGTTAAAATTGATGTGAAATAACTTATCCGTGTGAGCAAAATTGCTCGGTAAAAAAGATTAGTAAGTGAATTCTTCCCGTTCTTACAAAAAACAAAAGCAAAAGAGACAAAACAAAAAGAAAAAAGAAAAAAAAAAAACTATCAAACACAGCCCTCTTACCAAACTTGTAGTAGTAACTAATAATTTATAGTCATTGGCAAATTCAAACTCTTTATGACTGATATTCTGCTGACTATGATTCCCCCTATTATATTCTTTAATTTCCAGCTATGCTTCCATCACCTAATACATTCTCTCGATCACCAAAATGGACACATACCCACATGTGATATCCTTTGATTTCTATGCCTCCCTAATACCATGTGATACTGCAATTTGATAATTAAATCAAACAATTCAAAGTTTCTGAGATTAAACTAATCAATGGAGAATCCCCCCAACTGTTCCCAGATTCATTAGCAGAGATCACAGGGAAGTTTCATTGTCAAATTGATTAATTAAGTGCCCATCTGTGGATTTATCTTACTATTTGATATTTAAAAAAAAAATTAAGTACAATAGCTGGTCCGGTTTCATTTTCAGTAAACCTACTGTTAGGTAGGTCGCTAATGATTAGACAGCCACGACTTGTTTAACAAATACACATACTCTTAAAAATGAAATATTAAAAAATAATATAAACAAAAATATGACATTTCATAGTATAATTTTTTCTTAAAAATATATGACGGGTCGATTAGCCTAAAAGGTTAAATCGCATTATACAAGAATTTGGACTCTGTATGGATGTTAGCGGATTGAACCTCACTTAGGAGTTTGACAAATCAAATCTGCTAATTTAGTAAATAGCTTATTTGAGTAATGTTTCTATCAAAAAATAGAAAGTTCTATATAAGAGCGTTTTGAGAGAAGAATATTTGTAAAACAACACGTCTAACATGTTTCAAACCGCTATACCAGCTAACTACAATACAATCCACTAATTAAATCAGATATTACAATCCACTATTAGTTATCCATTAATACAATCAACTATATGCTATCAGCAAATAGCCAAACAAAGCCTTTAT